TCAGTGTTTAAGATCCCCTCAAAGGTTTCCAATCTTTTGGAAAAATTAATAAGGAACTTTCTGTGGGAGCTTGGAGAGGTGAAGATAGATCATAGGGTGAGTTGGGAGGTGGTCACTAGGTGTAAAAAACTAGGTCTTGGGATTGGTAATTTCAAGAAAAGGAATATGGCTCTACTGGGGAAGTGGTACAAAGGTGGCTTGTAGAATTAGGAATGTAATATGTTTTACATCACATTAGCTACTTGGTAATGTTCATTCATTCATCCTAATAAAATGTCTTCTTAAAAAGCAATTAAAATTATAAAATCGTTATTTTTTGTGTGAGAACTAAGAATTTAAGACCTAACGTGGACTTGTTTGGGGCTTGCCTCGAGGGGCGTGGTACAAAGGTGGCTTGTAGAATTAGGAATGTAATATGTTTTACATCACATTAGCTACTTGAATTAGTGCAACTGAGAAAAAAAAAGAGATTGTGGGTTTTATATGCTTGAAAATGTTTTATATATTTGATTTTATTTTTAAATTCTCATTTGAATATGCTTTACATGTTATATTTATATATTTTTATATTAGATAATAGGTTTTTTAAAACATTTATTTTAAAATTAAAGTATATTTTTATTAATATTATATTTAATAATTTCTTGCATTTTTTTGAAATTTTTGGCATTTGTTTTTGATTTTTAGCCTTTTTTTTTATTTTTGCGCCTTGCTTAAAAAGGCACATGCCTCGCCTTGTGCCCTGCACCTCAGGCGCAAATTGACCCTTGTGCCTTTTTTGCGTCTTGCGCTTTTAAAACACTGATCTAATAAGAAGATAAGGTATATCTCTAATTAGAGTCCAGATTTGATTTAGATCTGGATTATAGTTCCATACGAGATTATAAAAGAGGAGGGAGTGGACCATTCCAAGACAACTTCATATTTTTGTAGTTTTTGATTCTCTTTGCACCCTTTTGTCTCCCAGTTTTTTCCCAGTTTGACATCATCTATCTGGGACTGATTTAGATCATTTTTCCTCTTATTTTTGCAAGAAAAATGCAGGGAATGTCAGGCTCATCATCCTTAGTTCGATCCAAACAGTTGGATCTTAGTTTTGCTGAAAATTGTGTTGCTAAATCAACTTCACCTAAACATTGCGCTATATTCAGTGGAGGCTGGTTTTAGGACCGATTTGGGTGTGAACTTCCGCCTTGGAATCTACATGTGTGGTATGTGTATCATGTATACATCTCCCTCTTTGTTTGGTTTCAAATTTGGTCCTGTTCAGTGCAAGGCCGATCTGAAAAAATGCAGTTTTTCAAAACATAGGGAATTTGATTCCTAGAAGGACTAGGAAATTTTTGAAATTTCGTCCAACCATCTAGCATGGTTCAGCCATCCATATGGTGGATCCTAACCCTTCCAACAATCTGAATACCTTGTAAAGCTGCCAACAACTCAACCCTATTTGAGTCTCCTATTCCCACTGGGCCCGAGTACAAGGCTAAAATATTACAGTCCTCATCTCTAAAAACCCCTCCTATTATTGGAGGGCCTTGGATTGCCTTGACTGCTTCCATCAAAATTCAGTTTTACACAACCTTTTGGTCATAGTTGTCAATGCGACACCTAGGTGACAAGGTGCCCTTGGAGGCTTGCCTCGCCCAGTTGCCAAGTAGTTTTGTGCACTATGTTATAAAATATTTTTATATTTTTAATTTTTTGACTCTATAATTATAAAATAGGCATTACTAAACTAGAATACTCATTTTATGTGTTTATGTACTAATTTCTTTTTATTATTTTCTTATTTGTTAGGGTTTAATCAAYRYAAACATTGYTAAMTRYTGTAYTGAACCCATGGTTCAAAGTATTGATACACCTTTGTGTATCGGCAGAGGTGCATCAATACTTATAACACCCAAGGTTCAAAGTATCGGAAATGCCAAGTGTATCGGAAAGGCAATTTTAAGAGACGTATCGAGATACGCCTTGGATACATGTGTATCGGAGAAAAACTAAGATACGCATAGATACGCTTGGAAACACTATAAATACTTTAATAAATCAT